ACCATGGACTTGTTTCTGCAATGGCCAGCAGAGTTTCTTTTCTATTTCTGTTCCTGTTTTGTTGTTCCTTTGCTGCTGTTTGCTCTGCTCTTTCCCCACCCTGCCACTACCCGGTACAGCAGAAGAAAGATTGTTCGATAGAAGGAAGGCTGTATATACAGGCAAAGGAGAAAAAATGGAGAGATGAGAGGAGAACAACAAGAAAATAAGACTAGATGGGAAAACAGGCAACAAAGAGAACAAGATATGAAGATGGAAGATGGAAGAGAAGACAAGCAAATAGAAGGAAGAACACAAGAAGAAGAAAAGGTACGTAGGGCAGCCTGGTCTAGATAGGTCGATCGATGAAGGAGTGTAAAGAAGAAGAAGAAGAAGAAAAGGAAGAGGGAGAGAACATGGAAAAGAAGGAACTTCGGGGGGAAGGAAGTACAAATAATTATACCCCAAGCTTCCTGGCCGCTACTTCCCTAGCGAAACATGGAATCGCATCGCTAGTACCAAATTGGGAAGGAAGGCAATTGCATTCACTGCCTATGCTTGGTTAGACCTTCCTCGACATACAAATGCAAGATCAGTGAATAAAAACCTGCCTTTCGAAGATCGGTGGATGGACTACAGCCTTTGTCTAGGTGATGTCTACCTAGTACACAGAGAGCTGCTTTGATGGTATTATTCTTATTCGGCAAGGTTGCTGCTGCCTAAATCACAAATAATATAAGCCAGGGAATATACTGCTTCATACACGGTCTTCCTCTACACATCTAACCCTCTCCTTTTCTACCTTATAGGGCCGTCATGGAGATTCTTCCTCTGGAGATCAAGTGGCATATTTGCCGCTTTGTATGTGGGCCCTTGGGTCTCCTTGATGAGTCTGTCAATTACTAAAGAGATCTAGGTCAATGCCGACCCTTCTGGTATCCTAGCCCCCCTTAGCCTGACAAACCGAGATTGGTATGATGTGACGGTTCTTATTCTCTATGAAACTCTCAGAGTTAGGTTTGTAGATAGTGTGAGCCTTCAAAACGCTGTCTCAGAGCTGAAGGAGGGTGGTCGCGGGCGACTCTTTCTGAAGTATGCTCGAATACTAGATATAGTTTGTCTTTGGGGCTACAGCGAAAAGCCATGGCGTCGCCAGAGTATGGAACTTGTTCACTACGGCTTCCCGGCTTCGGATAGCACTTTTCTAATGTACTGCTTGAAAGAGTGCCTTGGCCCAGATTTCTGGTCTCATATTTTAAAGCTCCGGTATTATGGAGAGGAGAAGTGGCAACCGCTTGTCTCTGTGATTGCTCATCTAGAGCACCTCAGTGAGCTAAATTATGTAGTAGATATGACCATGTACCCACCATCACTCCAGCAAGTCTTACGCCAATATCATCCAATGTGCCGTCTAAACATCTGGCCTTTCCAAGACGTAAGTCTTGATTCGCATATTCTGCCACGAATCCAATGTCCCCGTGCTTTCAAGAACCTTGATATTCTTCGTTCGTCGGGGCTGCATACTGTTTCCGTGGATTATTTCATGAATGAAGTCGGGAGACCTTGGGTTCATTCCAACGAAATTCTGTCGATCATATGCATGACTCCAAGTCTTAAGCATCTTCATCTACGCGGGAGAAATCCTCGTTCTCTGACTTTGCTGAAACCGACGGGCAAAGAAAGTACTGCGAATGAGAAGCCCAGCCCAGCAGCATGCTTAGTTTCACACTCTTTTACGTCGCCGGCTCGCTGTGGAGCTTGGGAGGTAACGCTGCTCGAACTGGCAAATATTGTCGATCTTTCACGGCTTCATTCACTGGATATCTCGATTCACTCGGATCCTACACTGGTAATGCGAGCTGCTTCAATCTTAACAAGTCTGGAAAGACTGTTCTTGACGATGAATCCATGGAAGGTGCGTGCTGCAGGCCAATCTGCAGACGACGAAGATATGATAGCCGCAGTCCAGGCTTTCCATCCGTTGAAATATCTATGGTTACGTTGTTTACGAAGGAGCAAGTCCCTTCATCGTATTCTTCTACAGCATGGCCGCTCATTGAGAGGGCTCGCACTCGAGCCATGGGATATTAATCATAAAAATTTCAGGCCATACACTCGATACACGTATCCATTATTCGACAGTCGCGATATCACTGGATTGTCAGAGAGTTGCCCAAACTTACAAGAACTTCGCCTTCCGATAAAGCGTCGTGGAGGCCGCCCACATGAGTGCGACATATACAAGGCGATGGGTCAATTCTCACAGCTCCATACCCTGGTCATAATCTAGGCTGCTATCACTGATCCCTCAACGAGAGGAATGCCGGACCCGCTTTTCTTAGGGAAACGTTAATCAATGCTGCAATTGATGAAGGTCTTGCTAGAGGGATCTGGAATGTTATCGTCTCGAAACAATCTGCTCAAAAAAATTGAGGCATTTACGTCTTGTACTCTTTGGCGCAGGTGCCTATGAAGAAGATGATGAAAGAGATGCCATCCAGCAAATGAGCCGATCGTTTCTCGTCACACCCAATGCCTGTAAGGGCAATCCCCAGAATGTCAGGGAAATTGGAACAGAGGTGCAGGACCTCCAGGGACTGCCGAGGGATGAGATTGTGGTATCACATTATACGTCTAGCCGCCTAAGGTTATGAATAATTTGTGGCCTCTGGTAGGGGAGGGGATCTGGAGGGTGAAGAGTTTCCCTTTGCATGGACCATCTCATTGCTCACAATCCTACGGAGTAGCTAGCTATTTGGTCATTTCACCAACTGAATATTACTCCTTCTCTCCACGGATACAAGTCGCTGTTTCAATCGACTCCACATACCCAATGAAACCATGGCTGTCGACTACCGCCAAAAGCCCTCACTTACTCAATATTGTGACAATCTTATGCCTATGTTGCTGACCGGCCGAGAACGTCCTCGCTGCAGTCCATGATCTGCGAAAGGATACGGCATGCATGTTTCACTAAGCCCTTGATTTACCACGATGGACTGGAGTTGTTTATGCACATCAGACGGTAATATTAAATCCACGGTACTAAGAGGAGGGAAAATTTCCACGGGATTCTCTACTAGTTGGATGGATACCCTCAGGAGATGTGATTGATAAGGTGGTCCGTGTATACTGAACATAATAGGGGCTAGAGAACCGGAGGCGAGTATGCAATGTTTCATTAGCAGATAGGTCATAAATTCCAGGAGGGAGTCCGCCAGTCAGCCGTCGAGTCCTCGTGGTACTTTGGTTTGTGCATCGTTTCCTTCACATGGTATGCAATGTGTATCGCCGTGCTGATCAGTAAGGGAGGCCTTTCTTGTATTTTGTGATACCGAGTACATGAAACGACACGGAGGCGAGCATCGAGTTCTATCATCGTGTACCGAGTAGAAGAGGGAAGCATTCATAGCATTTGCAGAATGTTCCTGAGTGACTGAAATGGCGCATTCCAACTTTTCGGGCAGTTACTAAGTATAGAGTAGACCTTGTCTGAGCGCTAAATACCGGTTGAGAACAACCAGCTTCGTAGAATCATACTAGATACACTGGACTCAGGAATGCTACTAGTTGAAAGTCACTCTCGGTCTGGACTAAGTAAACCAACGGTGGGGGAGGGGGTATGCTGATGACATCACCTGATATCTCCCTCTTGTTCAAAGTTAAAACCTGCTGAGCGGGCGAGAGTCCGACATGCCTTGCCCATGTCCAGCAGATCAGATTGTTCGCAGTTTTACCGCCTTCCCAGGCGAAAGACTGGCGGTGAGAATGTATGACCAATAGAAGGCGTCCGAATGGGGGGGTGCACCATTCAAGCGGGGCGCGGAAGCGGACATTGGTTGCAGCGGGGGCACATGGTGGGGAGATCATCAACGGAATGACCCATGTCTTGCTCACCTTCCCAAGGAAATGACTGGTCCTTCGCTGACTATAAACCGTAGTCTATTTCATGGTCAAGTCTCGATGCCGACTTTCTTTTTTTTTCTTTTTCTTGTGTTACTAGTAGGTTACCTCCAATATATACTATTATAGTAAGGAAACCCCCCTTGCTGTCAATAATTGATGACGATAGCCTCGTGTGGTTCATATAAATTACATTAGATGGATGCCTATCATTCCGATAGGGGGATCAAGCTAGGAGGAAAAAAATAAAAAAAATAAAAATACAAATACAAATAAAGAGTAGCCTGTTGCAAGGGGTACTTACAAGGAACGAGGGGCGGGGAGGGTCCAATGACAGGTCTTGCGTTGAGTCCTCAGGGAGTCAGAGTCAGTGGAACCTGCAGGTCCAGACTCGACCTGCAGGGGAATTTCAATCTGCCTGGATGCCTGATGGAGGGCAGCCCCGCAGTGTTATCTTTCTTAATTGTTGGCAAAAGGGAAGGAGCGCCAATTTGATTTTAACTTAGGTTTTAGTACAGAGTGCTAGTAGACTAGTAATAGTAGTCACTGGGGTCAATTTCTTCTCCATGAGTCGTCTCTTCTTTTTACCTTTCTTGTCCTTCGTGTTCTTCCCGTAGTGAGAGGGTAAAGTGCCCGATTCTCTCCACTGATCGTCTGCGCTGTCTTAACTCTCTCTCCATTTTTTTCATTTATTTTTCGCGCAAACGACTGGAAGGTCCCCCCGTCGGTGAAGAACTGGTTTCGCCTATAATTTCTTCCAACTATTTCTCCCCATAATTGATTGATTGATTGATTATTCTTATTATAAGTGGGTTCCGGCATCCTACGAACTACTATCAACTGGCTCTGGTCTACTCTCTCCCTCCCTTTCTCTCTTAACCCCCTCCCTCCTTCTTGTTCCCTGGGTCCTCGTTTGATTCCCTATGTCTTCTCTCTCTCGAGTTTGATGGGCTGGTTTCACCGTCAGGATGTTTCATTGTATCGGTATGTAGTCATATTAAAAGGTCTTGAGTGGCACCGACATGAAGTATATATACTGACTTCGTTTGTCAGAACCATTGTTTCTATTGTTATGTATTGATGGTCAGAGACTAAGTCTCATGGTCGGTTGATCAACCCGATCTCTTTCGCCTCACTTGATATTCCTATTGCTTTTCGACGATCCAAACCACTGGTTACTCGGCAGGTGATTGTCGCCAACCATGAGCTCCATCACATGCCATCGCCAATCGCATGCCCACGGCGGCTATCCTTACAGCCTGCCGCACGGGCATCACCATAATAATAGCAACAATAGCCGCCCTCTCCACATAGTCCAAACTACTACGCCAACTGCTCTGGGTCCAGGCACCGCGAATAATCCGTCTTGCCTGGCTGGATCCCAGCTACCTCCATCCCTTGAGATTTCTTCACCTAACCTGAATGTCCTGTCCGATACGAAAGCCACCTTGGAACTCACTGAAATCACCGTGGATACATGCACCTCCCCAGTCTCTCATGATACCGCCGACGATATGGGGCTGAGCATGGAAGTACCCTCGACCACAAGTCCAAACGTCACCCCAGAACTATCTCCCGTTTGCGACAAACCTCGCATTCCAAAGCGGAAACGAACTTCATCCCCACCGTCGCCCTCTTCGACAAGTCCCGGAGACCATCGTCGTTCATCCTCTCGAAGCACTCGCCACTCTGCACAGACGGCTCGCCAAAGCTCTTTACATTCTCATCGCCGCTCAGCTACCGTCACGGCCCCTCTCACGCCATCAGTTCCTAGTAAAGATCTGGAACCCAAGCGGGAAGATCTTCTGGCCCTGCACCGAGAATCCTGTCGTTTATTTCAAGACAGTGAGCGAACTATCCCAACTCAGTATGAAAGAGCGTCACTTCCCCCAACTATCCACGATAGTCCGCCACACACGCTCCGCACATCCTCAGAGACCGGTTCACCCCCGGTTTCCCCAGTCTTCCCGACCCGATTTCCTACAGTCAGTGAGGACTTGACGCGTCAAGACAATCAGAAGGGCCCCATGCTCCACACTTCGCCCGTCACTAGCACCACCCATGATGAAAGTTATATCCCTCCCATCCAGACCTCGGCCACTGTCATTGACTGGACATCCCCGTCCACGCGAAGGCGCGAATACAAAAAGATCGATCGTGCCAGTAGCGGGGTAAGGGGTTTCTGGCGTCGGGTTGCCCCCAAGTGGTGCCAGTTCGGACACGATCGCACGCCGTTCTTTGAAGAAAAAGACGGTAAAGGAAACTACGAGGGCAGTGTCCGACGGTTTCGAATGGACCTCCCCGACGAGCCTATCCCGAAACGTAAAACGAATGCCATCGGGGCGCTAAAGCTGAAACAAAAGTTGGTGGCGACTAAAATGAGCAGTCGTCGAAAGAGCGAATAGCCGAGTCATGACGCCACGCTGGTTCTCTGCATTTTCCATTTAGACATTGACAGCCACTGGCTGTGCAACATTCTTTAGAAAAAGAAAAGCCTGGAGCTTTCCAAAGTTCCGAGTTGTGACGCTCTCACAGAGTGAGGTGTGTTGAACACGTGTCACAGATTTCTCGTGAGACTTGAGACTGTCATTGATTATTCCCTTGCATGGGCGGGAGATTTGAAATTGTGATACCCAACAAGCCATAGACTGGACCGAATTCATATCTATTTGCATCAAAAATTAATCTGATTGCCTTGATATAAAGGAATAAAATGAGAGATACTTTTTTTTTCCCAATATCGCCACCTTGTAACGCCACGCAAATCATATAGATAATATAAATCATAGTGAAGGGTATCGATCAGAAGCACACACCCATTTTTGTCTAACAATCCACGCCCATCCATCACAGCATATCGAAATCGTCCAGCTTATCCCGATACTGCATGATGTTCCTCTTGATCTTACTGTTATCCACCCAAGTGACGAAATCCTCCATGTTCCTCGTCACCAGATAAGCGGGGTCAGTCACAACCTCACTTCCAACACGCACATGTCCCTGCTCAATGAAAGTAACAGCCTGAAAACATATTAGCCCTCACACTCCGAACAAACTAACTCACAAATACCCCCAACCAGAGCCACAAAAGAAAAAAGAAAAGAAAAGAAAAAAAGAAAAAGGGGGGGTGGGGAGAACAAACCGTCTTAACATTCTCCACCATGCCACTCCGCGCCATAATAACCGCCAACCTGCGTCTACAGAGCGCAGAAACCGTCACCTCGCGCTCAACCCTCGACAATCCAGCACCCTGTTCCCGGCTCTGCTTCAGAATCCCCATGCGCCAGAGTTTATCGAGGACTTCGCTCTCGACCTTCTTCCGGACCGGATCGCTATCCGGATCGAGCTGCGAGAGCTTATGCGCTAGTTGACGGAGGGAGCCGCACAGGGCATTGTATCTTTGTGATGTCGTGTTAGGGTTCTATTCTGAGGACATTTTTATATGATGCTAGCTGGTGAGGAACGTACTTCTTATAATCGAGGTCATTCTGGAGATAGTACCGCTGACGGACTTCGTGTTCGCGGTGACCGCCGTCGGACTTGTAGTTGTAGAAGTCGACCTTCCGAAGGAGCCTATTTAGGACTTTTTGTTAATTTCTCTATATCACTTTAAAATTCCAACTTGATTTGCCCGTATAATAAAGCCGGAAACGATATCCCAGTCAAGATGATGACTTGACGATAGGCGTTCTAAGTTCTGATTTTTTGCGTATCTTCAAGCTCGACGGGATATACATGCGCCGGTCTTTGGGAAGCGCAGAATCTGTAGTCGAATTCAACTTACTTCTTTTCGTGATACTTTAGCTGACGGACCATTTTGACGGTGTTTCTTTTTTTCCCCTTTGTCTATCGGGTTTCTTGTTGCGATGGTTGTATTGGTTGTTTAGGGAAAAAAAATTGGAGGGCGGTGTGTGATTCTGCTGGTTTAGAGGGGGGTACCGCTTTTCAAGTTTTGTGCCTGAGGCATGAGATATCTTATGCAGATGTAACCTTATGGATTGGACTATTCATGAATAGGTATGTACTTGTTCAATCTATTTGAATGATCATAGATCATAGTATACTTTATTATTTAATGGTAACAGCATGAATATGATGTGATCTGGAAATTATTGAAAATAAGCAGTGTGGCAAGGTTTTAGGCTTGATCCTAAGCATTCGTGGTATTATCCTTTGGGATATAGAAGCGCGCTGGCACGATTATCCTGGGGTAGGGTTTGTAGTAATGAATACATTGACAGACTACGAGGTAAGACAGAGCTCTCCTGAAGAGGAGCGGTAACTATGTTTATGGTAGATGCCAGTTATATTGTATTACTTCGTGATAAAAGGATATCATACCCGAACTTCAAGCATCTTCTATGGTATTCGCTCAGTCTTTTCTCGGCCAGTGCGCATGAAACATCATAAAAGTCGAAGTTCGCAAGGTCACGATCATCAATCTTTAATCCTTCCTCTTGGCACCCTTTGCTGTCACCAGACGCATTTGACCGAGTTGACACACCCTCCTGGGCAAGCTTAACGATTGTATCAAAGACCTTCTCCACGATATCTACTGTACCATACGGATCATTCGCAGCATTTAGTAGATTCCCGAGAATGAGTGATCTTGTGGTTAGGTTAGCGCATGCCAGATCACCATATAACCAGTGAGACTGGATAAACCCAGTATATAAAGATCGATAGAATCTCAACGTATCGGGTGAATCCTCCCAGAGACCTAGGGGTTCAGCACGCCGCTCGATGTCCTCAGTCCAGCAATACATTGCCGGATCCCAATCTCGCGTCAACCAGCTCGGGTACCGTTCATTCCCTACACTTCGTGGCACAGCCCCCACTCCGTCCCAATCTATGACGGCCTGCAATGCCCCGTCTTGTGAAACCAAGACGTTCTGAACATCAAGATCTGGATGGGCCAGAACGAACGCGCCGCGCTCATCACTTGGTTCTGGAATCCAGTCAATGAACAATCGGAGAAGGCCAAGCACACCCTTTTCAAAAGTCGTGTCTGGCGGCCTCCGACGATCCAGCAGCGCTGTGTAATATTCTTTTGTATCGGAGAAGGGTCCCATTTCCAAGTAGACAGTTGATTGATCTGGATCGCCCGCTCTTAACCGCTCTCGCATGGTTGCGGTGTCTACTAGTCGCAAGGGACCGATACCCGACGGGAAACCCTGGTCATCGAGAATCGTTGAACCCCCTGTGCTGAACGAGAATCTGTCCAGCTGAGCCATAGCAGCCGCGAGATCTCGTAGGCATCGAGTGCGTCGTACCTGTACAATTTCTTTCGGCGAAGTGTTATCGAACCAGACTTTGTACAGCGAGACTCCCTCCACATGGTCAATAAGGATGAACGGACAGTTGAGCTCATTGTCGCATGTGTCGCTAAAGGCATGAACATCTGGGACTGGGATAGTAGTTTCACGACGCAGTAAGCGCATCATCAGTGCTTCTGAGCGTATCGCTCTAGCATCGGAGGGTGTGAATTTTTCCCAGGTCCCATTTGCAGGGACTTTGAGTAGCCAGAGAGTTTCGTCGGGGAATTTCACCGGGTAAAGGACATGGTAGGAGCCGAATATTGGGGGCTTGATTTCGATTACCCTGAAACTTTCAGGGTTGCTATGCGGGATGCTTTGTCGAATTGTGCTGGCGTATTTGGCGAGACGATCCAGTCGTATACGTTCCATGACCTCTGTGAATAAGTCATGTGCGTCGGGTCCTGAGGAGTCTGAAGAGCTGTATCCAAACACATTTTCCTCTTCAGATTGCTCGGTAGGAGAAGTTAGTGTCATGGATTTGAATATCTAGGGTGAGTGCCTTGTGTGATTATGAACTAGCTCTACGCCACCACTAATTTAAAAGGTGGCCGATTAGCTACTTATTCCCCCTTAAAAAAAAAAAAAAAAAAAAAGACATATGTATATATATCGATGCTCCTAATGCAGATGCTTCATAGAGCCTTTCAGGAAGAGGAAAAGTAGATATTGCGTACAAATAGCTAGACCTGACCAATTTATGTGTAGTATTAGACATATAAAGAATGGGTACATTGATCCACAACTCACGTGTAAGTGAGCCAAGGACTCTTTGAACTTGAACCCTAATTAATTATCCGGCTTATGTTTTCATCCCTAGCGTAAGGAACTCAGAGATAAAACTCCGCTGTAAATGCATCGACGATTGTAGTTTCTTAATTCGTTGTGTATATGTAACTCAATCCGCAAGAGAGCACCAAGGCTCAGATGGATGCAGAGTTTCGCTGCTTTGATCATTGCAGATCGATGTCTAATCTTATACGGTATATAGTAAATATACAAAGCCACGGACTCACGTAGATCATCCAGACAGCTTGATGCGGTGTATTTAATTAATATATCATAACTCATCCTTCACTGATGGCTCAGGCCGACCACTGTCCTTGTCCAGATTAACCCCATTCTTCTTGCGCCACTTCTCCCACAGCGCAAAGAACTCCTTCTCCATCCCGCTCTCCATCTGATCAGGAAGAATCACACTGTACTCCACATACAGATTGCCCGGCTCCTCATCTTGGTCGTGGCTTTCGTGTAGATGACCGTCCGAGTAAAATGGCATGCCCTCACCCTTAACTGTTTCCACAGACAAGGGCTGTACGACCTCACCACGTTTGCGTCCAAGCTGGACGATGTGCCCATCCAGGTGAGTGATATTGCGGGTCCACTCACCCATCCATGCCTCCCGCAGTGATAGCGCTTCCCTCCAGAATAGGTCCTTACCCTTCCTTCGGAAGAAGGTGCCATCCGTCTGCCATTGGTAATCGCTCGCCTCGGGTTCCCGCTCATCCAAAATCAGCACCAAATCGCCAGCAATATAGTCGGGACTCTCGTCGGCCTCATTTTCAAATACAATCCGTGACCCCTTCCCCATTCCAGGCTCTACAGTAAACGCTGTTTCCACCTCCTTGCGAACAACCCGATGTCCATGGCATACGTGACAGGGCTTCTTGATCATCTTCCCTTGTCCACCACACTTATCACAGGTCATTTGCACTTGCTGAAACATTCCGGGTGCCAGCATATGCTTCTGGATGACCCTTCCATGCCCCGCGCACCGATCACAGGTGATAACCTCACGATCTGCCGACCCCGTACCCTCGCACGCATCGCAGATCTGCTGTTTCTCTAACATAATAGTGACCTCCCTGCCATTATAGAAATCGCGCAGCGGCAACCCAATCTTGTATTCCATGTCCGGCCCCCTCCGATGTCCCGGCGCATGTCCGAAGTGTCCGCCGCCGCCGAAAAACCGCGAAAACAAGTCGAAGGGATCGTGTGCCTGTCGCCCCGCATTGCCTCCCTGTCGATGCTGTTCCACTCCTTCATGTCCATACTGATCGTAGATCTTGCGCGTGGTGGATGTAGAAAGTACGTCATATGCCTCTGCGATTTCAACGAATTTCTCGCGTGCGTTCTCGTCGCCCCTGTATGATTGCCGTTAGAGTACTAGTGTTTCCAAGATAACGTAAAAACGTACGGGTTCTTATCTGGATGGTATTTCTTGCTCAAGGTTCGATATGCCCTTTTAATATCCCTTTCTGAAGCCGATTTGTCTAAACCTAGAGTTTTGTAATAGTCCTCTGCCGCCAGCACCAACTGCACCAGGCATAGTGCAATGGCGAGGAAAAGGCAAGCTAGGCGCATTTTGGACAGCATCTTCTACGAGCTGCGTTCGCGCAGCTCGTGTGAGTCTGGTGATAATCAGTTGGCGGCGTTATCGCTGCAATCGAGGTGCGTCTTGTCGACTTGCGGGTATCTTAAAATAGATAAGAGGCAAAAGTGGTTATTTCGCTAATTTCTTGCTTTCTGAATTATGAGAGCAGGCTCGAACAGTCCATAAAGTACATGTAGACTATGCCTTGAGATCAGCAAAGACCTCAAGAAGCGTGTGACGGGGTTGGATCTTTGTTGCTGTTCTGAACTAAATAAAGCTGTCAACCCAAATAAACCATAGCTTGTCGATTAGGTGGCCGCAACACGGCGAATGGTTCAACCGGGCCGGATCACGTGTGGTTATACAATTATCCCCTTTTTCTTATTGGAAGCAACAGCTAGGCAGCACTATACGACAAATTTATTCTTTGGAGATGTCTGCTAAATAATAACATTGTGCACTTCATTATGGCCCGTAATATGTGGACAGTTGAGGCATGCATGGCAGTAAAGGAGTGACTGCAGTCAATGGCGATCATTACACATGTCGCATAGCATAAGTAACAAATAGGATTGTCCAGCGTGTACATAGACTTAGTAAAGCAGACAGCTCGCCAGGGAATGTCCAAAGGTAAGTGTGGGAGGTGTCAGTAGATGAGAAGAAACCCCGAGTAATAAGCAAAAAGCGAAGCATCCGTCAATCATTAGCTACGTGTCGGAACATTAAAAATGTCGTTTCGCCATGTTCTTCTCAGACCATAGCTCTCATCTCCTTCTTCAATGGCTTCTTGAGCTCTCAGTGCTTCCTCGTGCCAAACTTTCGTAAGACTTCCAGGGGCATAAACGCCCTTGAAGATACCTTTGCCAGGTGCATCAAAGCCGATACGAGTCTCGACGTCTGAGACTGGTTGTAATCGTGCCAACACCGCCCGCACAAAGGTCGCCAGATCTTGGGGATTGGCAATGCGTGCAGCTCGCAAACGCTCCCGTGCAAACACGAGCTCCCGGTTCATTGCAAAAGCGGCCGCAACGATTCGTTCTGCGATCTTCTTCTCCAAGACTCGACGGAGCATATGCTTCAGGAATGGCTTGGTCAACCATAAAAGGTACTTCCACTTGCTGCGATGTACCTTGTAGTCGAGCTTGTGTATAACCACCCGCACGCCGCGAAGCGTAAAGATCTGCTCTAGACGCTCCCGACCCACTTCGATATCCAAGGAGATATCAACGCCCCGCTTATCTAGATAAAAACTGGCAATACCCTCATCATGGAAACGGAACAGGCCTGAGTGCGTGCGGAGCCAATATCCGAATTCTGAAGCACTCACGTTGAGTCCCATGACTGTGGCAGTAAACGTGGTCTTGATATCAGCCGTGGTTCTCTTTGAATGCCTCTTTAAAACGTCGATGTCATTCCGTGTGGTGATATGCAGACGATATGGGAGGAATGATGAATAGTTAACCGTGTGACCTGGCTCCAGGATGAAATTCTCCAATAGAAGGTCAAGCTCAGGCGCCATCACCTCCAGACGCGGGATTGGAATATGTTGTATGGTTCGAAGAAGAACAGGAAAGAAAACTTCAAGGATGTCCGAGGGCAACTCGCTTTTTCTCTCATAGTAGCCGTCCCATGCGTCTTTGTATAGCTTGTTGGTTGCATCTATCAATTTGGTCACTGCGGCATCTTCAGGGACTGTACGCAAAGTCCGTTTTGCCTGTTCCAGAAAAGCATCCACATCCTGCCGCAGATTGGACTCTGTGCCGACTTTCTTAGATTTTTCCTCGAGCTCACTGAGTTTTTCTGAAGCAGAGTCAAAGAAGCTTGGGTCAGTCAGCATCTGCTGCACTGAAGACCCTAACTCTCCCATTAGTCTCTCAAATTCTGGGTCTTTATTAGTATGCTGCAACACTTGCTGGAATCTTTGTTCCAGGGTCTTCCATTGCTCGGCATCGCCCAGCGACTGAACCAAAGCCCAGAACTGCTGCATCGCTTGCTTTAGATCTTCATTTACCTCGACCTCTTCTTCAGCCGTTGTGATTATATCTGAAGCTGCATTGGCGTAGGTCTTCGCGTAACGCTGCACCAGTGTAGTAAGGGTGGCTACCGAGTCCGAATAGTCGGATCGTTCTCGCAGTTTTAGGACGGCTTGCTTCAACCGGTAGAGCAATGTATCCTTTTCCTGCCCTCCCAGATGTTCTTTGGCGCTCTTGATTGCCTCCTGTCCAGTGCGAGCTGCTCCATTACCGGCCGCCTCTGTAACTTGAGCTACCTCCTGGCGTAGCTCCTCGCTTGATGGGGCCTGGCCTTCATCTGCACCTGCACCCTGCACCGCGTCGACTTCTTCTTGTGATGGTTTGATCTGTTCCCCAACTTGTTTCGAAGTATCTGACAGGAAATATGCCGTGTCAGAGAATATCTGACGGCCAACGGTGGTTAAGTCATCAACAAAGAGACGAAAGTCGGCATTGGTCAAAAGAAGGCTTCCCACAGTGCGAAGACTATCATACGCTATCCCAACATCAGCTTACTACATTTACATCAAGTATACGTGTGATTTTACCGGCTTTAGTGTCTTGTCTAGCCTTCACATGAGAGGCATGCTGTGCGACCTGGCCACGATCAAGCGATGCCCTAGATCGAGACAAATGCCACAAGAATTCCTGCAGCTTATCATCACTATTTTTGTCGCGCAATAGTTCGATGAAGACTTGTATCCAAATACGACAGTCTCGGATGAGCTGGCGGCCGACAGAGCCGATATCCTGGGTACGAGGGTTCAGGATATCGGAGGCCAACAAGGTACGGAGATTAATAATGACCTGGTCGGTAGATGGCAAGTAACCCTCTGAAAGGGCACGCAGCATCTGAAACGAATGCAATTTTTGATGCAATCGCCGTTGAAGGGTCGTGTCCTCCTCATAGCGAGGAAGGAGGGGCTCGGTCTCTTGCGACATGGCAGATAGGCAGCCGTTGGCCACGAAATACCTCTGTGTTGATTGACCGAAGGACTATCAAGTCGCAGTATGTACACCGAAGACTACCCGAATTGTTCCGCGAAAGGATCAATGACTCAATTAACTCAACCTTCTCCGAAAGGAGCTGG